ATACCCAGATTATCCGATTATCAGTAACGGGTAATTTCACGCAAAATTGTACACGCAGCTGGGCATCGAGCAAACCTCAGTCTACGTGGTTTAAGTTTAACAAGGTCAAATCATACAGTACATACCATGGTATATTATTTTTCGCGATTATAATACTAATTTGGAATTATTTGGTCGTAAAGTTAATAAGGAAAAGTTCTTTGTACGGAAAATAATAGAATTTCGTATAAGATAAGCGTTTCAAAGCGGTACAAGTTATTAAAAATCAATAAACATGGTACATAAAACTCAATAATTAGATATTCGAAAGTCAAGCTTTTTACGAAAGCAAACATTTTAATAGATACTCGCTCTCAGATTAATTGCTGATCTCTTCCCACGCTCGTAATTGAGTCACGCCCACGCGCGTCTTATCTCCCATTGAAAATAATAAAAGCAAAAATTCCAATTAGACATTTCGTGAAATACCGAAACCTGTACAGATTGTACGCCACCCATCCGCATGCATCCCATCTCGTGTATATGCATAGGCGCTCGACATAAAAGTCCGCGGAGCCCGTTGAAGCTCGTAACTAGCAAGTACTCGTATCTAATAGATGGTATGGGTAAATAATCAGTTTATTGATACGATCAAATGCGAGTCTCGTTGGATTGTAATGTCTTACCAGACTGCACGTCTCGATTTTCCGTTGCGTCACAAATTTGTTCTGATGACATCGAGCAGATTTCAAGTGAACGTTTCAGCGCTTTAGCGATGGATACTTAATTATGCAAAAATTTGTTTTTTGTAAAATGTTGTAATTTCCGTAGAAAGATACCTTATACGTGAGTTGCTTTGCTTTATTTTAGTGGCGCTAAATGGTGTTTAAAAATTTGCTGCTTTTTTAATAAAAAAAACCCTTATTTTTTGAGTAAATTGTGAGTTTTAGGGAAGGTGCTACAATATTTTACTTTTGATTGTAGTGCCTCTCCCAAGTCGTGCCCTAAATTTACCTAACTTTTTAACAACGCAAGAAGCAATAGTCAGGGACGTATCCCATTAATTTAAAATAATGACGATTCAGAAATTACCGGACCCAAAACGAACGAGTTGAAATTAGTCTTCAGGAGGTGTATGATGAATTGCTCCTTTTTACAACTTACTTCTCGTGCATACAAATGAACCAAACAGAGAATTATTTCTCGATTAGTAAGTTAGTACTCTACACACCCTCGATAAATATTGATAAACCTATTATAAATATTTCGATCGCATCATCGCCGCAAAACGATTGTTCTGTTCAAATTGATCGATAGGAAGCATCCCGAGTACCCGAATAAAAAACCACAATTACCCGTGGAAATGAATAAGAATAAGAATAAAGAGGCCACCCAACTCAGCAACTTTTATCCGACTTTTTTCCTCTCCCTCGCGCTCACTCTCTCCGCAATATCCAGTCGAGTTGCGTTCGTTAAAATACCTCGAATATGTCATGTCATCGGCTGTTGATCCCAGTGAAAACAAAAGACGACGAGGGTTTGCGAATTAGCAAGTAAATACCTCGGGAACCCTGTAATTTTTTGTCGGCGCGCGCGAATCCTCACAAAGGAGAAACGGACGCGACGCTCGAGGGATCGCAAGATTTTAAAATCGAATTCACGGGCGTGCACCGATCGCGTATCTCGAGAGAGAAAAAACGGAACCATTTTGAGCGCAGGTTAACTGCAAATTGTCGCTATTTAACGATATCGTCGATGTTGCTGAAGCGGCGTGAAAATTGAAGTGCCGTAAATTTCGTGAAGCTTAACAGCTTAAAATTTTTGTAAGAGATACGGGGCAGATTAACGTGTGTGAGAGGTGTGAAAGAATATGCGTACAGACTGGCACTTGAATGCATGAAGAACTTTTGTAGAACAATTTCGCTGTAAAACTTCAGTAGGCTAAAAAATCAGGAATCTAACATTTTAAAGTGGAAGCTTTAAGGCTGAGAAACGTTACATATTTTTGAATTTTTTTTACAATTATTACTCAACTCCTAGTTGATGCACATTCCATGAATTCCCTATATGCTTTCCCATGTATTTTCACACTTATTATTGCTCCCATTGCAATTTAATGAATAACTAGATAAGTGCAAAAAAGACCTCCTAGATCATAAGCGGATCTAGAAAATTTTCGACATCTGGTATCCCAGATGAATGTGTATCTATAAACTTTTTTACAGACATCACCCAACCGAAGAAACGTATTTCTTCTCGTAAATACCACATACAAAGTTTGCAATCTCTAATATTAACAAGCGTAATTTATTAAGATAAAGTAACTAAATAAGGTAAATAAATACCTTCGTACAAATTTACTATATTCATAATTGTGTAGATAAATTGTTACTCTTTAAACCGCCCCGTAGAATCCAACTAAATGTTTTAAGATTACGTTTCATTTAGTTACATCCTGGAGCTTTTACATTGTATACTTACGACAATACTAAATGTAAGAAATCGATAATTAAGGTATAATATTCGACGCCTATCGATTTTCTGATCATTGAACACGAGCAGTGAAATTTGAATCTTAAATAGTATCGATTTCAGTCAATGCATTTTTTTAAACAAGGTGAACCTAAAAAGTTATTGGAAATAACGAAACTATTAGAATAAATATGAACGTATAATTGTTGCAAACTGTTTATTGCTTTAAAACATTACTTTATACTCAATATTGTACTCAATGGGTGTACCTCTATAATAATAGAGTAATCAACAAAAAGATCAAAATTATTTACTCAAAAGATACGTAACAATTATAGTTAAATATAGGCAAGTGAAAGGATTGAAACAGTAAATTAAATCCTATGAAATCGCATAATTACAGCATCTGTACCTAGTGCCCATCTCTCATGAATCACCCGGTATAAATACAATGTAACACCGCACCGCATGTGTGGTCCGACCATTAGAAATCATCATCATAACCAACATCGGCGAGGGCAAGTAAGCAGAAGAACGCGAACCCCTAGTTGTGTTGCGACTCATGAAGTAGGTTAAATGTGAACTCAAAGGACCTACGGAGTAGTTTGTTTCTCCTATGTGGGTCGAGGAGTGAGTGATTATCGACTAATTGTTAAGCTTTCCGGTGGACCGAGAGTTTCATAGATTTTTTTTTAAAGGTTACTTTGCCATATTTTATTATGGAACATTTGATAGACTTCGCTATAATGGTTTGCGTTTCTCGGTAAACGCACGAGTTTCGAACAAAAACATCAAAAGGTTATTCGGTTAATTGGCCGAAAAGTCGCTGCCTTCATTAAACGTTTCGAAGAAGTCTAGATCCTTGGTAACTCAAAAACGATAACGTAAAATAAAACGAAATAAGCGAGACATGAGACAAAGGTCCTTGACCAGAGTGGAACCTATACTGTATTTGGTATAGGAATAATCCGCCCTGCCTTTGTTTAGATTCTTAGAACGAGCCATTTTTATTAAAAGTTTGCCTCGAAATTTGTTCCGGCACCTGTTTACCCAGATTTACGTTTTACTCATTATAAAACTTCGTGGAATATATGCAAAAAAATTTCCAAATATGCAAAATATGCATGCGCATTTTTTACAAATTACAAATTTTTGAAAACATTTTTTTAAGATTCTAATTTGGTCTTAGAAATTGCTGAATACTCATAAAGTATGTTAGGGGCTTAGAAGTCATTAATCAATAAAATTAGAAATAGTACTTTAAATAGTTTTTCCGCAAAGAATCGAATTTATGTCAATAGGTCACAGGTGTGCATTAGGCCCAAGCAAGTTTTCCTGATGCCCGATATTTTTGTTTCCGTACTATGAACATTTAGTCGTTAATTAATAATGTCAATACTCGTTTGAAGGCTAATAGAACGTTAAACATTGAATGTTTGCCCAATTTCAACACGAATATCGGCTTGTGCTGAAAATTGTGTGCTAAAATTGTCTACTTTATAAAAAGTCTTAAATTGTAACAGAAAGCTATTGTGTGTTAGAAATTAGAAAATAATTCCTGCTGCCAAAGCACTATCCTCGACAATTTTAATCCTTATTAATTTATTATTTATACGTTGAATAGAAATTAGCGGACAAAAAAAGAAGACAATAATAACAAAATTGAATTGCATTGAAACAATTAAACGATTTACTCCTAAAAAATAAAATAAATTGAAATAAAAATTCTACTTTGTGTTTAGCCATGAAAAATTTCAAAAAAATAATCGATTTAATTCTTTCGCAATAAATCATTTTAACATGTTGCAGGTATCTAAAATTTCGAATGCGACATTCTTTAGCCATGCAACGGTAGCACAGGCTAATATTTGCTTAACTAAATAAACAATTACAGTATATGCAGTGCTCACAAAGTATATAACGGTATAACGGCTTTAAAAATTATTTTATAACACATTCAATGTGCATAAATCATCTTACTTGCAGGTACTGGAGATTGGATTATTCCAGATTTGCATCCGCCGTTCAATAGAACAAAATATAATCTATATTTATGCGTTCGCTTGATTCATGTCGCATGATATTTTGTGCATATATTTTAAAATGATGTATTGTTATGATGTTCGTTACTTTTAATGCGACAAATTCATATATACTGAGGTTTTAAATATTTGCTTTATTTGTATTTATCTTTTACATGGTGTAATAGGTTATGGAGAGTTTTACCGAAGGTATTTGTAAACTTCAGTTAAATTAACTTTAATTTAAATGAATTTAGCTCTTAGTTTAAAAATAATCCAAATATTTGTGGCGTTATCGAATGCAGTGCTATTTTCAATTAAGCAAATAAATAAATTGAGTTGAATGCACTCTCCAGAATTATTTCAAAATTATTTTTCGATTCGACCGTTGCAGTAGAATTGTAACATATTTTAATCGACAGTAAATCTAGTAATAAATACTACAAAGTAATATCGATAAGAAAGCTGTAGTCGTGAATTTCAATGGTTTAAAACGGCTTAAATTATAGTAACAATTTTATTCAGTTGCACAATCGAACACATCCATTTCATTAAAATTACCCTTTGATAATGTGACCCGACACTTCTAAAACACGGACAATCTAAACACGAAAAAAGCATGAAGTGAGTACGTTACAGCATCTTCAATTGCACATCGATCTTCCTCAAATCGTCCTCGATGATGGATTTCCTTCTCTGGAATTTGAGCGAATCGCATTTGAACGGCAACGCGTTGAGTTCTCCGATCCGCTTGTTATACTCCTCGTTCAACAATCGCGTTTTGGTCTCCTTGCTTTCTTCGACCGACTCGGTGTCGTACTGGCTGGCGACGTCCAGCTTCAGGGGCAGCATATTCGCGGAGAAGTGGCCGATGCTCGACGCCGGTATGCAAATGTACTTGGAAATGGGGAGCTCTTCCTGATTGTCGACGATCTCGCACGCGTTCTGGCAGTACGCGTCCGTTATCGTGGTGAAATTAGATGTGACGGCCTCGTAGTCGTTGGATATCATGGATATGGAGAAGCCTTGTTGAAGTCCTGGGTCCTTTGGGCATTTTAGGTCTCTCTTGTTGGTGGTTTCTTGATTTGCGTTGGATGGTTTTTGTACGTATAGGTGACTGTTGGTGACTGTTTGCGTTAGTTTGTCGCTTAGAACGCTATCGTCGCATTTCGATATTCTACCGTTTAGGTAAATCAGCCTGACTACTCTTCCGAGTCGTTTAGTTTTGTCTCGGGGACATGATTTTGAACCGATTTTTCTCTTAAAATTTGGAAGTCTATTAAAACTTGATAAGTTCATTTTAGCCTAATTTATAAATGTGACAATTCAGTCCATTGCTATTGACATTGTCATGTGTTCGCATCAAGCACGCAATTCCTTACTTCTTCTTAACAACTTTAAACTACGTACTTTCTTTCAATCACTCCATTATAGGCACATCAACTTTAATCAAGTTTTAAATTAAAAGCAAACATTTTCTATCCTCATAATTATTTTACCAATAATTTTTCCATTCATCCACCAAAAATCAAAGTATTGATATTTCTTCCCACCGAAACCAATACACAACTATTTCTTCTCCTAATTCTACTCGAATTCTACCTATTAGAAATTATATAAAGTATTTCGCGGATAAATTAACAAATTGCGAACAAAATACGCGAGCGTCCGATTAATTGGCATTAATTTAATTTATAAACTTCTGATACAGACGGTACACATCTGGTATAAACGCCGAAGAGTTGAAATTGTGATTCGGACCGACAAGCAGATGCCACGCCAGTGATTAGCTGGTGGAATCTGTGATGTCGGCTTCTGTTTCTTCCTTCATTCTACCTGTTAAGAAGATATTTTAGGATTAGGCGTCAGTGGTGGAGGAGACGGCTTTACTGTAAAATTGCCTATATTGTGTCAGTTTATAGCAACATTTTTCCCTTAAATATTATTTTAATTTGGAGTGCACTTCAGGGAATGCATTTAAGATAACTAATAAGAGTGTCTACCTTTACCTTGATTGTTAAAAGTGTGAAAGTTTTAAATTTAAAGATAGGTGCTTGTTTTTAATTATATTCTGTGCCGTGGTAATTGTTTTAAATGTATACCTGTAGGAATTTCTGTTTCTCGAACGTGTTGGGTACGTACAAATTTAAGGGTTGTCCATGAGAGTTGGAAAGAACCCTTCTCACGATAATTAATGCCTTTTTTATGTAATCCTCACGCCCTAATAACTAATGGACCGGATTTTATCGTAGGACGATACCGGTGACATGGAAAAATTACTTTAAAAAATTTTTACCGGGATAAAATTGAATTATAAAACTAATGAAGCCGGACGAAAAATGTGGATGTGTAATTTCTCTATTTTAACTCTGCCTTTTGGGTAGGTTGCTTTAGATGATTAATGTAAAATATTTTGGAAATTTACGAATCTTTAGTTAATGCGTTTTATTTTAAAAAACATTAAGTAAACTCCACTGGGCGAATAACTTTCAAGAGAACGACGATTCGATAAATATTTGAGGTGATTTTTTTACGTGTGAACTACTTGCGATTAACATATTTGCTTAAGATATTTCAAAATTTACACGACTCATCGAAGTTAAAAGTTTCATGTTACCTACAGGAGTATTCTTACTCAAAGCCAGAGCCGGATTTACCCTCGAGCACTAACGCATTAAATAGTTTTTCGTGCATTCCAAAAAGTATGTTTAATTTAATAAGTTAATTATTATGCTAAAATAATTCAATTTAATTTTCGTGCATAAATAAACGCGAGGAAAATGGTAAAGATTAGGGGTTCGTTGAAGTCGGCAGTCCGGCCCTGTTGGGCACCAGCAGATTTACGACCTCACCGGCTCTTCGTATAATCTCTGTGTGTTTAGATAAGTTGCCGAAGTAGTGCCACATTAACAGTTTCTGTCAATAAAAGGAATCGGCCTTATCCTAATTTTTTCTTGTCCGCGTATGTCAAATATTTGACAATGCTTTACGCGCGTGTTTTTATTTTAGGTCAAGTCAATATTGTTGAGATTTCACTTTATGATTCTCGCGAAAAGCTCGGAAAAATGCGCTTTCACAGGAATTTAAATGGTTTGTACCATTCCGATAAAAACTAATTCCAAGTATATGTAAAAAAATCAAATCAAAATTACATAATAAATAGAAAGTTTCTATGTAGGTACATCAAATTACTTTTTTTATTAGAAAAAAATCATCAAATTTGTATGAAGAGAGCTTGTTTCACGCATTTATAAATAACAATTTACGAGTCTTCGGTACACTGAATGATGCACCTGCGTATTTACCATATTTTCAAATTAATTCCCGGAGACTTTATGAAAACGTTTCGTAACGTTCAAGTTCAAGTTCATGATATTTATAGAACTCCGACAGAAGTATTGACAGGATTATTTAAGTACCTACGTTTTAAACACTGAATATATTTTTTGAGTACTTAATGCAAGTTGAGTACATACCAAACTTGGTCCTGTTCGAAATACTCGAATGTAGGTGATTAAAGAATTATTCGGGAAAAAGTGTTTCGTGAAAGAACAAAAGAAATTCGATACTTTTTGTTAGAAGAAATGCGTTCAAATGAGAAATAAGGTTTCCTATAATTTGAGAATAGGATACTTTTAGAGAATATACAACCATTGTTTTTTTATAGGGATTTGTTAAAATCCACTACCCTGTCAATAAATTTTAAAAATTTTAAACTAAAAATTACTAGTATTAATAAAATTAATTCTCATTAATTACATTATCTACAGAAAAATAATTATCAAACTTCTCGGAAGCGCTTTAGATTTTTTTGCGACTTTCCCACGCAATAAGCCGCCTTTCATTCAAATAAATAAGAGGCGATGGATTCAGAAAAGAACCCTTCTGTGTCCCGTTCGTGCAGGTATGCAAAAAAGAAAACCGCAGCGTTTTTTAACAAGAATACGTACGAAACGAACGCGTCAAATTTCATTGCATTTTATTACCCACTGAGTATTATATCTCACAGCGTATTTAAAACAGCACGAATAATTATCTTTTTTTCTTCTTTTTCGCCGACCGGTTAAAATATAATTGAGCGTGGAAATTTATTACTTTCAATTTCTCCTAATACGAACGATATTTAATAATTATTTTAAGGATTACAAAAAAAAATTACTCACAATTTAGACCGCCTGCCGAAAATCTCCATCCCTTTAAAGGGCGTACGTTTCCCTCGGAAAAAATACCGAATTACCACTCACAAACACCGCGAGTTCGAATGCAGCAACTGAAAAACCCGACTGAAACTCCGAGTGGCCGATAAATGAAGAGCGAAAAGCGCGACCTAAAAGCTCTCGCGGGCGAGCACCGGTCCCGTCCTTCCGTCCGTCGAGACAAAGATTAGAATGAAACCGAAAACCCGCACCGAAACCGGCGACACCATCACCAGAAGATTCGGATGCTTCTTCCAGAGAGAGCGATGCGTCGACGAGCACGCCTCCGCAAGAAAAATAAGCGACTTAAGGGCCCAGAGCGGACGAGTCCGTGCCCAGACGCGGTGTAAATGACGAGATAAGGCGAGAAAAATGCGGTTCATTTTTCACATTTTTCGGATAATTATTCAACTTGTTGGTTTGTCGGGAATGTTTCATGGAACTTCGACTAGTCGGTGAGATGAGTGAGATTTGAGGAACTGAATGTTCAAAGCAATCTATTCAATTCCAACTTTTCGTTCATTACGAATTGAATGAACGTGATCAATTTCCTCAATATTTCGATGATAAATCACATATTTACTCTTTTTTTATTAACACTGTCTTCCCAATATCTTGCTCATACTAAGTAGAGTTGCTTTTTCATCTTCTCTACTTGTACTTAATTAATAAGTAATCATTCGTCTGCCTCAATGCATAAATGCATAACTCTGATAAAGTGTGATTTAATAAAGTGATTAGAGCAAAAGGTTCCAGGGCGAGGTAACCAACCTACTTGAGGTGTAAGAACCCACAAAACTCGTGGCACCTTTGAATCACAAACTGCCTATTTTATCCAATACAAACTAAATGTTATAATATGTATGTTATGCCAATTTACTTTCAGAAAGAATAAACCTTATTTAACGTAAAAAAGACGATTTCACAAAAAACAAAATTATTTCTACGTGATTATCTCTACTTTCAAGATATAACAAATTAACAAGTAGAATTCGGTGTCCGACGTCATGCTCATCTGTTAAAATATTTTATTTAACAAACCTTCCTTCTGAGAAAGACCGTGCGACTCCATACACGCCCTATTAAGGGAACATCTGACTATAACGTGGGCTACTTGGTTCATTTGTTGTTATGTCTTTGTTGATCTTCACATCTGTCAGCAACGTGACTTTGGGTTTATTTCCTTCCTCCATTGACGACTAAAGTGCAAAAAGTCTAAATAAACAAAAGTCGCAGGAGTAATTTCAAGATTCGAATTAAGAGGTTTTTAATTACTCTTTATACGTACATAGAATCTTTAATACCATTCTAATTTTCAACTGCAGAAACCACTATGGAAATGATTTTGTTATGCTCCATTGAAATTATTAACGATAGTTAATTAATACTGAAGTATCCATAGTATAATTGCATCTGTCACGTAGGTACTGAAACAATGATTTTTTTTGTAAATACGCCGCAACTATAAATCTTATTTATGCTAATAGAAATTAGAATCAGGCCGATAACCTACTTAAATTTATTTTAGTAGGTAATACCTGTTTATGTCCTGTAGGTATTACTTTTACGTCGTAAGATTTATGTAGTTTGATTGTGAGTATGAAGTTTTCCTTTGGTCAGCGCGAATTCTACGAAATCATAGTTTTATGAATAAAGAGTTCGACGCCGGAAATTAAAAAAAAGAGGAAACCATTTTATCGCTTGTAGCATCCTTTCCTCCCACGAACCCGTGTAATTTTAATCTTGGACTGATTTTCCACTATCTATGAAAGACACATACTTATTGTATCACATTAAAATGGCACATATTCCATTCCAGTATCCTTGCTGATAACGTTTCATCGATTGCCCACGTAAGTTATTATTAGCAATTTATTATAAAAATCGAAGGAAAAAATGAAACATCAATACCTAAATAAAAATTTTAAAAATATATTTTCTGATTGAAATGGAGGGTGAGAAATATAGAGACTTATAACTGGAATAAATTCATTATTTCGGTTACTGCACATATTTATAAAAAAAACCCCGAAACTCGTCAAATTTTATTAATAAATTGACATTTTTCAACGTAAAAATGTGATCTCTACCTTCAACCCTCTTCGAGTGACAGATACAACCCCTAATTTTTTAAATGGGAAGTATAGGCTTGTGATATATCATTCTTTTCATTCTCTATAGAAAAAAGGTATTGTTTTCCAGTTTATTTAAAAAAAATATTGTTCATAATTAAGAAAAATTGCAATTTCAATATATGGATTAGATGTTTCAAATGCTCACCGCGAACCTCTTTGCAAACTCCTATTCTTAAATAAAAATGTCTTCTAACTTTATTTAACATTCATATTGTTACAAGTTCAACTTAAAACTTAATAACTTTTTTATCATAATTTTCTTATTACCCCAGATATTTTTATGAACTTTTCTTCTTAAAATCATCCAAATATTCACATCCTGAAGTATCGGCACTCAATTAATTATAACTGAATCAATTAATGAATTATATCATTATATCTAATTAGGCACCTTCTTAAAAAATACAATCATTTAAATTTGGCACCTTTTATCGCTCTAAGGTAAGTTCAAAAATATAAGAAATTTAGGTGTAAAATTTGTTATTATGGTAAAATATGGTAAAGTGTACCTATTAAAAAACTCCTGTAGATGTTGTAGTCCATTGTTTTTATAGTAAAATTGTAATCAGGACTCTTCGCGAAAATAAAATATATCCTTTTTTACGTGAGTTTCCTATTTAAACCCTCTTACTTATAGGCAACCCAGTTGATCTGTCCATGTACGATCCGTGTTGATGCTGCACAAGATAGGCAACATTTTATTCCCAAGGAAAATGTATCTACCTGGAATCTGGCTGGTATATTTTTTACTAGGTATACTTACATAGATATTTATGCCCTGAAAAGGAAATGTAATCCTACAGCAGGGACTATAGGGAAATATAATAATATACAATGTAAAAATTTCTAATCAAACCAATAAACATATTTTTAAATTGAAATTGAATTACATAGATATTACCTAGATTCTCTGTTATTTATTAGATATGTATAATAATAATAATACGACATCCAATCGTTAGATATTTGGACTGCTTAATAAAATCATCTGTTAAATTTAATTGCCAAATATTATTATTATTATAACTAAAATGCTCCCCGTTTGTGAGCACCCAGTTTGTTCAAAACACTGAATACAAATTTGTGTAAAAAAATTGTAAAAATTCTGTTCTTAGCTTCTAGTGTTATCATTATTTTAAATTCTTCAGTTTTTTTTTCAATCTCTAAATTTCTACAGGCTTTTGAAAATGTTACTGGGATTTTTATGATAGATACTCACAAAATATCACTTACCAAAACAATCAGAAGCGAATAGACCTGGTGTAATGCCTTTAATTATTAATATAACGAATTATTAAATATTATTGCAAAAACTTCGAAACACTATATAATGTGGAAACATCAAGTCTGCCAAATTGACTCATTAATTTTCATATTAATTATTTTTGTATTCTTTAACATTTTAAAATAATGAATTAATTATTACTCAGAAATTCTATTTTGAAGGAACAAAGTGAGAATAAAGGTAGGGAGAAACTGCTCGTGACCTGCTTTAAACATTTGTAATTCAGTAATTCATCTTTTAGGGTCTAAATTCGATAAAGGGACATTTATACCCTCGCTTATAATAGTTTGTGATACCTCTAACTTGTTTATTAAACAATAATTGCATCACAATAATATTCCAACAAACTATTAATTTATTAACATTTATGAAATGAATGAAAGGTTGGGCGAGTAGAAATTCGCTATTTTAATGAACAAAAACTGTATTTGACACACCAATTTTCTATACAATAATTTACATTAAATATTTCTTACAATTATGTACATTTTTTTATTAAACTAGTTATGATAGTTATTAATAATAAACTATAATTTACAATGCTTTAAATTTATGTAGATATTATACGTACTAATATTAGGTTCAATCTAATAATACAATAAACGACTAGATTATAGTAATACTGATGCTTTCATACATGTTTGACTAGAGAACACTCGCTTTCTATATAGATATTGATATTATCTATACATAAATAAAAATAGAAATTAAAATAAATAAAATAATAAATACGAACATAAATACTATTATTAAAATACTATAGTTAAATACAATTTTTTATTCTAAAATCTCTTTTGAAAAGAGGATTAGAACGTGTTGCATTAAAACTAAATATTTGTAAAAGCTTGACTAGATAATAAGACTAGGTGGATTTTGATAATTCTCGCTTTATACTGGCTCGACATGTCCCTATTTAACTTAATTCGAATTAATTTAATCTAAACTCATATGGCAGTGATTCACTTTTTTTACTTTTCCGCGTATCCCAAGCGGACAAGTAATGTTTCAATTCGTTTTTAGTGTGGAAAGCCGCCGCTTGAAGCGTATTGCAAACTTTTTCCCTTGCCCGCACTCTCAATGCTTAAATACAAAACTTATTACTTAACAGAGCCGCAAAACCAGAAAAATGTAATAACTTTATTTTGATGTACCAATAATTTAATGAACTAATAAGATAGGCGGGATGAGACGATGATATCTAAAGAAAATATTGCGTATAAATAGCTAAGTATAAAATAGAAATACATAAGTACCGGATATTAAATTATGAATATGAAGCGGAATGAACTAAATTCAATATATTATTTAGATACAAAAAATAGTTATTATTAAATGGTTTAACTTTAGCACCCTGTAATACTAATTTTGAGGAGATGAATGAACATTTCCGCACGCTAAAAATCTATCAGGAACTCTAACGATATGATAATTTGGCCTTAATTTACAAGTATTAACTAAATTATGCTATAATTTATCACCGCTTATTTCAACTCTCGGCTAAAATGTAGATCCAATTAATTAAGTACACTGCTGATAAAGTATTAGAAAATGTAATGCTACAATGAAGGTGGAGAACATCGATAACTTTTATCTTGTTTGAGTTTATCTTATATGTAGTTAAGATATATTATCTAAATTAAATTAGATTTAGAGAGTATGGGTGCTACAAATAGCGCTATCTACATTTATCATTTGGAATGTCTAGTTGAAGTAAGGGAAAAATATAAATATGTGCAATTAAAATAAATATCCAATAATAAAAAAAATTGAGAGAAAATGACTAGATACTTAGAACTAAAAATGACTAGATAAGACTAGGTAGAGAGCAAAATGCTTGACTAGATAGAGCAAAATGCATGACTAGAAAGAGCAAAATGCATGACTAGATAGAGCAAAATGCGTGACTAGATATATCTAATATTAACGACTAGTAAATAATGAATAGATACTTAAATAATGACTAGGTAGTAAATGATAGGTTTTTTCCAACATCATTTTGAACCTTTCTTTCTGAACAATGCGCAGTCTTTTTTAATGAATTACTTTGCATTAAGTAAAGTTTAGAATAGTTAAATGATTACCTTTGTTGGAGCAAACCTAATGTGACTAGCAGTTTGACTATAAGATGACTAGAAGATTAAAAATGACTAGAAAAAAGTAGAAAATTAAGTACTTAAATAAAATATTATAAAACTGACTAGAAAACATTAGACAATAAATTACAATTTAATTAAAAACTAAATTATTCCCTATTAAATTATCACAGAATTTTAATATAATTAATTAATATATGTACATTATTTAGAGAAATATGAGTACTAAGGCAAAAGCAAGAGAGCAAAATTGTAAAGCTCAGACAGAGTATACAGTTTCTGTTCTTTGCTAGAATTAAAATCTCCGTTATTTGTATAAGCACAACTCATTACTTAAAGTATAATTAAAAATTAAGCGAGATCAGTATATGAAACCTGATTACAATCACAGTGTACAATGTTTTATGTACAATTTACATATGTATGTACAATATATTACAAATTAGTGAGTCTAAACGGAATGGATAATAATTACATTAATTACCTATAGGCAAATTAGGTTAATTGTTAATATAGCAGTTAATTAATATTCAAATTACGCCAGTAAAGAAATGATACAATTGGTACAAATAGATCTCAAAGAATATTTAAACATACGTAATTCGATATGTGTTAGATAAAAACCTTTAGAAATAAAATAAATTGCGCGTTCAAACATCCGTTATAAGAAAAAAAAAAATGCATAAAATCTACCTATAAGCGAATTTTCTACATCCACGTTCGTCAGAAATTGTCCAACCACGTGACGTCGGGCGATATGTACCTGTCGAAGCGCGTCGTCGTCGTCGTGGTCGTCTCGACGTTGCAAACGGCGCTGGGGGGCGGCAGCGGAGGCGGCCGCCAAATGTGGGGCGGCATCCTCGGGATGGGTCTGACCGGGACCAGCCGTCGTCATTCAATCTGGAGGAGGGAGCGCTCGATCCGGTGGTCCGCGTGGTGGCTGGATTGGTGCTTCTTCAGATAGGAGAGCCTGCGGAAGCGCTTCTCGCAATCCGGACATTGGAATTGCTCTTCGGCCTCTGGAAATTAGGGGCTCGATTAAGATAACATTTTGAACGATATTATTCTTGATTTTCGATTTGTCTGGTAGCTATTATAGGTATTCTTTCTAAATTAACTGCATTGGAAATAAAAAATGTGCACCAAATATGTATGTATGTATAGCAAACTTAAAGATAGATAATCATAGATTAGATTATCAAGAATTAGTTAATTAAGATTATTTTAAATAAATCCAATAATAAATGTTTGTAAATGATTCCAAAATGCTTGACACTTTGGTATTTGATTTATGGGAGACTTGTAAGTAAACTCAATATTAGTCGCATTAGAGATATTTGAAGTCGAATTTGAAATTATATTGAAGAATTTATATCGCGTTCAGCTTTTGATTCTTTTTCCAGACACATTTTTATAATGTGTATACAGGGTGGCTACTATAAAAATCGTCAAACATCAGGAGGTTTTAAACAAAATTTTGAACAAAAAATGTCATATAAAACTTTTTCGAAAAGTTGATAGTAAATTTTGGTTTTACGACCATTAAAATATACAATTAATTATTATGTTCATTTCATAATCATACAAACTAAATATTTTAAAACACCCGGTATTGAACTTTTTTTAAAACTGATAAATACTTTTCTTGTAGCAAAATTAATGCACTTTTACAGTGTGTGATCAAAATTGATGTGACTATAAGAGTAATACTGATATATTGTATTGTTTGGAAAAAAAACAAAAAAAAGTAAACTATAAAATGTCAAATAAAAAAGAAACTGCCAACTTTTCAAAAAAGTGTTATAGGATATTTTTGGTTCGAAATAACTTGTAAAATCACCTTCTGAAGTTTAATGATTTTCATAGTAGACACCCTGTATAATCAATAATCAATAATTGCAATTTATAATTCAAATAATCAATTCAACGGAAACAACCACACAATACGTAGGTATACTAATTTCAACAGAGTTGGAAAGTTTAAAAATATTAAAAATATATAGGTATGCATAATAATTAAAACAGTGGTTCATTTGAGGTGGAAGTAAAAGAAATTATTCCCTTAATTACCCCACTAATTTAAATATTTTTAACAGTTTTGAAAACTTTAGATCGGTATAATTAATACATAAAAGTTATAAAAAATTGTTTTGAAACAAAAATAACAATTTAACGCCCTGTATATTCAAACTAACCGGCATAAAAGTATTTTAATTGATATAGAAGAAAAACGAAGAATTAATTGAAAATCCTGCAGTCAACTAGCGAATCCAAAAGCAATTTTCCTAATTTTTTTACTTTATGCATATTTCATAGTTTATTTTACAGTGGTTTCACCTTGGGAGAATAAAAATTTTATAGAACTCGAAAATAAGATTCAATTTTTTTTTCCAAGATTTTTCTGTAATATGGAATGTAAAACTTTATATTATAAAGTAGGTAGTCTCCATAACTTTCCAGAATCTTCCAGTACAATTAAAATGAACTAAGCATATTATCTTAAAAAAATTGTAGATATAGTAGATATATTTTACCTTGATCAGCGTCGATGATTTCGCTGTTTTTGAATTCCTTAGGTTGGCGCGGTTTATGCCATCTCCGGTGCGACGCCAAATTCGCCGGGCAGTTGAAAACCTTATCGCATTCCGGGCACCTGTACTCGATGTTGACGATGCGAGAGCACCGATGCTGTGCTAAGCCGAAGGCGTCTTCGTACAATTCCCTGCAAAGCTGACACACGTAATCGCCGATTACGTTCTCGATTTTGGCCAATTCCGCCTTGGCTTCCTCGGTGATTTCCACCACGTTGAAAGCGGGATCGATGTCGCCTTTCCTCACCACCAGGTTCTCGTCCGGTCGCAGTTCCCTTATTATGGTGCCCGACACGGGAGACGTGTTGTCCTCTTCGAAAACGAGCTTCCTCGTCGCCTTGGTTTTCTTGGCCGAAGTCGGCGTGCCGGCTTTGGGTTTTTTAACAGGTATCTCAGGAGTGGGCGAGCGATTGACGGTCTTCTTGGCGCCGGGACTCGGCGTGCACGGCGGCGTTATCGGCGCCTGGTTGTTGTGGCTTTTGACGCTCAAATCCAAAGGGATGGCGGTGGTAAGTTCCAATGGTTCGGAGTACTTGAACAGCTGCTGGTGCAAGTGGAACAACTGCGGTTGCAAGGCGAACCTTTGGAGGTTGTGGTGGTGTCTGAACGTCGCGAATTCCATGTTCTCATGTTGGTATAGGACGCGAGGCATCCCTCGTGGAATATCGCGGCCGACTGACTCGCGTTCCGGGTAGAGGATTTCTTGTATCCGGTCGCCGGAGGTTCCCCAATAGCCTCGCAACCCCGCCTAGAGGTAGCGGTGAGCGTGCGCGAGGTGGGGCGAAGGGCTCACCCTTATTGGTAGAAGGACGAAACTACGTGCGTATTGGTAAATGGTTGAAATAAAATCACGTTGTGTTCAGTTGCTCGTAACGGATTTCGATGTTGTAGATGATTTTTTTCGTAACGGTTTTTAGGCAATTATTCGACGAATATCGGGTGATTTGAGGGATTCCCTCGCAGATGGCGAGTTTACACCCTCCTTGTAAACAGATAGAAGTTGTGATAGAAACCCCAAGACCGAGTTTTTAATGTTTTTAATTACGTCGGCTGCGTTTCCAATATAACTTAATGGGTTACAGGGTGGTTGGGTTTATTTTGTAACATTAATTCGGTAGATAGGTATTATATTTAAAGTTCATTCAAAAATAGAAAAATAACTTGAAATAGTTTTATATGCATCTAGTTATAAAAATAGAAAAATAAAAATCATAGTAGATTGAAATAAATGATGAACTGATGATGAACAACGAAATAAACAAGACCTATTTTTCATAATAAGATACATAACATTCATTTCATGTCATTGATCAAGTTTCTCTATAGAATAGAAATATATTTTTGAACTCTCCTGTACTAAGTAGTTCCTCATATAGTACAATATCGTTGGTGAATTTCGATATTTTTTGTCCTTCCTGTTTGATTTCGAAAGGCTGTCCGTTAATTCATTAGCGATTTGTGTCGAATCATTTCCGGGGGAATGTTTGTACACTTTATACGGTTTCTTTTTCATTTCTATTATCTAAACAGTTTCATTAAACGGTCAAATATCGCTCGTATGCTCGATTAAACGCATCTGTTTATATTTAAATAGAATATCGAGGGTTATGTTATAAGGTATACATCACTTTTTCATTGTAAAATTGCTTATTGTTAATTTCGTCTGGTCGATAAGTATTTTAACGTATAAGTTTTAAGTAAGTAGGTATCTACATAACTATAGCAAAGTATAGATTTTTATAATGTTTGAAATGACATTTTTTACGCATACCAAAATTTTTTTTTATTGGAATTTAGAAGATTGTTTTACTGAGAAAAATTCATGGAACTAAATTCCTCAAAACGTCACATGAAAATGTATCAATACAGAAAGGAATTTCACGCGAAATGACTCAATTTGCCGGAATATTTCGAGCTATTTGTTTTATGACTTTCCAGATCATTTATGATAAATTTTATCGCCTCCCAGTAATCGCACGAGAAACTCATGGAAAAAATAATCATGGAAAAATAAGCTATTATATTATTTACACATCATGGTTTAAGAATGCTTCACTGTTAAATAAGCAAAAACATTTTTAAAGTAAAAAATTTAAAGAAAATAAGTTTTTTTTATTTATTAAATTGACTCTATTATTGGCATTGACAATCTCAATAACGACAAAAAATTGCCTTGATATTAGTTATAAAATATTATTTCGACCATATATTAGTAACAAATTCCTCGTAATTAAATTTACCTTCTCCGTTGACTTCGATTTCATTCATCATTTCGGTAAATTCTTGTATCGACATTTTCTCACCCATTGTCATTACAATATGTTTTAATTCCTCTACACAAAATGGAAGAAAAAAGATTATTTACTGTATACTAAGATGATTTCCAAAATCTACAATACAATATTTTTCAATTTTATGAACTCTTCCAAATCAGTTATTGAGTTAGGTACATCGATTATAGATATCTTTCAGGAAACCTATCCAAGCTATCAATAATCAGCCTCTAAACTATAGATATTATTACCTAGTTTTATGTATCCGTTTCCGTCTTTGTCGAAAATACGAAACGCCTCCCGCAACTCTTCCTCGTCTCCAGCATTGTTCATCTGCATAGCCAGCAGCGTCAGAAATTCTGAAAAATCGACTTTGCCGTCTTCTCTGCTGATCTCGCTGACCAGATTCTTGAGCTCCCTCTCGGTGGGATTCTGGCCCAAGGACCTGATCAAAGTGCCCAAATTACCGATCTCGATCAGTCCGTCGTTGTCTTTGTCGAAGAGATTGAATTTCTGCTTGTACTCCTCCACTTGCTCTTCGGTAAACTGATCGGCCATTTACAAGGTGTGACATTGACAAATTGACGTTCATATACGTTCTAATGCCAAATACAGTAAGAATATTTTGTGGTGTGTAATAATTTAGGGTTGTTTAGGTATAAATTTGAAATTTAAAAGTATTTTCCAACCCTCTCGGAACGGCCACGAGTGCATCTAATAAACAGTCTAATGAATAAGCATGAGTATTACCTGAGATATCTATCAATTGTGAGTCACCCTCGTTACCCGCTGCATTATGTTTTTAAATTTTACTGCTGCTGGTTCCCCTTGAAGCCGCGTGCTGAAGGAATTTAAAAGCGTGCACGCGCGTGGATTGTACCAAGCAGAAAGCCCTCGAAACGAGCGTATATTGTTGCAATGCCTTCACGAAAAAAAAAGGTGAAAATCATTTACCTGGAATAAAAGAACCCCCCATCTGCACTGAAGGGTTGGCTGGAGAGTAAAGCAAATTCGATTGTCTTGCAAACTTCCTATATATGGTTCGATTTTAGTGGTCAGAATGGAATTGTATTGAACTTAATTTTTTTACAAGAATAATATCTGCAAAACTGAGAGATATTTTAGGTTTGGATTATTGTTTAAATACTGAAATTGGGCCAAAGTTCGTCAGTAATTAGTTGTTTGATGCTTTATTGTTAAACTTTTTCTGTTGTATTCTACCATTTTATAGATCTTAACGAAAGAACCTGGTGGTACTGTTTTAACTGCAGATAATTTTGATGAAAACAATTTACATATCAAGTTGTGGTGTCTATCCACAGATATTTTGTCATAACCTTCTCGTTTTGTTACAAGAGAACAACATGGATATTCATTTCATTTTCATATAATTCCGAGTTTTACTTGTTCTAAAATTAACCATCATTTAATTTATCAATTATTTGAATATACACCTATAGTAATTCCGTAACAGTTGTGCAATCGACGAACCGGAATATACGCGTTATCCCGTTGGAAGAACCGTGCTTGTAATGTTCATAAATCAAATCATTGATCGCGGTGTAATTAAGTGAATTTCGAGTGGCCATATGGCTTCAGATCTGCCAGCATTAGGGCTTTGTCAATGCATTGCGAACGCTCCCCTTCAAGTGCACCGATGATACCGACACTTTTTTCGCATCATCAAAGAGTTCCTATGGTCGATTAATAGCTCATAAATATTTGCACAGCGCCGATTTGTTGATTAAAGTTATTCGCACGTGACTATTTTTAGCACAGGACCTTCGATAAGTTTCGAGTGTTTAAGTACCAATTCTGTTTTTTGCTATTATCAAAAACGTAGCATAATGTAGTATCTAGCTTGATAAATGGCTTGAAAAAAGAAATACTAATTTTTGCATCACTAACATTATGGGGGTACTTTAAATATGTTATTTTCTACACGTGGCTATACGCGCCAGTGCATATACATAATAATAATGCCCAGAAATTGTGTACTAATTCCATTACAATAATTAACTACCTGTCATATGTTCTTATCTTTAGTAATTCTTCCATTCTTGTTTGTTTTGCCCATTGAATCGCATTCTTAAGACCACCTGTTCTGCGACCTTCTTACGTTGTGTGTAGTACCTTGTGCAACGCCTTGAACAGGTATTTAGATAAGGAACCCTCTTTTCCTCTTTAGTGACTACATCCATTCATGAAGCACTCTAAGAAAGACGGTGGAATTCAATGGAATTCCTACCGAGATTCTAGGGCAACGGGACAATCCCTTATAGGGTGGCACATATTTCATTAATGTTAATAGATTTTTTTTATTTGTTGGTTTATTCAATATGTTATTGTCTTAGCATAGTAAAAGGTGGAATGATTGAGAATTACACCAAATCATTAACTTCTTTGAGGAAACGCACTTTTAATTAGCTTGGCTCAATTTTTTCCAATTAGATGATTACTATAGGTATATAAGAAATTAAATTAAATATAATAATTGTATAGTAAAATCTACTGACAGACGGGCATGATAAATCCGGCGTACGCCAGGTGTCCCTAACAAATTTTCCGCGCCCCTCCGATAAGAAAAGACCTGCGGTGTTTCTACCAGTGATCGATACATGCAGGTACCGAGCGGTAGCGTTGCTATCTGAGGAAAAATAAGTAATCACAGGGCGATTGTTAATTCCCGATCCCTCGACCAGGTGTATCTATATTCCGAGGGGGGACCACGCGTCCGATCGCAGCTGCCCTAGGGTGGCACCCCTTCGAAAAACCGGCTATTAAGGCACACATGCCGTGACGTATGCTCGCGTATGTGTCGCGTACACATAGGTGCGTGCACATTGTTGCTGCATCTCATTGGCGTACGAAAAAGGAACCCAAAGTGCATCTAAACCTTGAACCAGTCGGTACCGCTAGAATGGAAATTATTGCTACAATTCACAGGATAAAAAATTAATAAGTGTAGCATGATATTCTCTAAAATTGGGATTATTTTCGACAAAATATATATTCTAAACAAAAATCTGTATCATAACAGAAACTTTTAAATAATGAAGAATCCTCATTACCTACTTTACATTTCATTTCATTTTATTTCAACCCTTAATAATTCACCTAATATCCTATATTTTTTCATTTTATTCACCCAACGACTTTTTACGAGTGCAATTGCTACGCCTATGTTTTAAGCTTAGTTGTTACGGTTCTGCAGATATGTAAATGAACTGCGATTAGTTCTTTTGTGGAGTCTTCATCCTCGACGACCCCATTTATTGCACCAGCAATTATTATGCAGGGAGAGATTGAAAAGTCTGCACAGTCTCCTACGGTTAGACTTTTGGTAGATGCCGGTTTGCTTCTCTCAAATCAACAAGTATTAACTATAGGCATTTAAACATTTTTTCCCTATCCATTAGATATTAAATCTTCCATAACGTAGACTATTCATTTGTAATAGTGTTCGATTAGATTACTGGATTACTTATCGTGATTAAGGTGGAATCCATAAATAATTGGTCGGATGGCCTTTAATAAAGCCGCACATCAAAGGCATGTTAAATACTATCCCCTGGCAATAACAAAGGTTCAAATGATAAGCCTTCGGGAAAAATTTACTGAAATTTATGTTTACTAATCGCAACTATCAATGGATTCGTCTTCTGTTAAGTAAATTACAATCCAATTACGGGTCGTTCTTCGGCTGTAATCGGTTCGGTCACGTAAAGCTCATGTAGCAATAAAAAGCTTGTAATTTGGTTATATCTACCTAAAAAAATATTTCACTTTTAGATTTGCATTCGTTTTCACATGATTTCTTCGAGTTGCCACTCCCAGCGAATATTTTCTAGAACAAAGTCTTAAATAATAAAATGCGATAAGGAAATTGCTCGATATTACAAAGGAAAAAAATAATAACATGTCTAATACTTACAATATTGACAAATACAACATAAACTGCAATGTATTCAATTATTTCTCGTGGCGGAAAAAAATTGCTTTAAAATGACTGCTAATAACAAAAATTGCAAGCGTATATAGGTAATAATCTGCGGCGTAACTAAAAATTAGCATAATCATTTATTAAAAGCGAATCGTCTTCATGAAGGCTGTAAGTTATAGACAATGGAAAAGTTAATTATGGGGTGAACCTATTTAGAATATTTAAAAGCGTTGAATTTCTCGAAGAAGTCTCGATAATCTACGTTAATAATACCTTGCTTTTTATTTTTATTCAGATTTCTTATGAAGGAAGGCAAAATCGATAAACATTTTTATACAATATACCAAAAGATTGATTGATTCATAATCTTTACAAAACCTCTTTTAATTACACAAGACGAAGAAGGAAACGATTATAAATCCAGGCAACAGGTGCAGGCAACAAGTGCTACTGTATTCCAAGCTAAGATCGTGCCAAATTTGATTCACAATAAGACGCCCCTAAGGTGAATTCCATTCAATCTCGGCCCTTCTCAAGGTACGATATGGAACTCCGCTCCATTCCCTTTCACTTATTTATTTAACTTCCTCGACAAGGGCCACCTGATTCCGCATTCTTACGGCGACAGCTGGCGCGTAAGAAATTCAATGCACTTACTACGCAATAAGGAAACGCCTTATTTAATTGCAGGTATTACTTTTATTTATTAACTTTAAAATTTGAGATATTTTATTCAGCTTATTTTTTTTATACTTTTATTTTTTATACTCTACTCTCTATTATACTTTCTACTCTCTGTATGTACTAATAGTAGTCAAGTAAAGGGGTTTATACTTTAGATTTAAAAGCAATATTGGAAAACTATTAAAAGGGTCTGTCTGTTCTCGACGCCTATGAACTGCAAATTCGACAAAAATACGTCCAATCCCCATTAGCGACAGGTAAGAGTTTCATGCGACTGCTCTGCTCTTCGAGATCGAGGGCGAGAGGAGAAAAGAAATGGATGCGAGTAGCGCGTGCCCTGCACCCTTTACCTTTCACCCTTGGCAGGGAACAAAGACGCCGCCAGCTGCGACGCTCCGTAGCGGGTCGTGCGGCTGCAAAAAATCAGTGGTGAAGACAAAAGGAGAAGACAAAACCGGTCGAAGGGTACTAGGGCGCTTTTAAGCGAAAATTATGAAGTTTTGAAGGATTTTTTTGTTGGCTACATGGATCGAGGAGAGTAAAAAATTAATCTAACGAGTATTATGCATGGATGATGATTGAAAAAAAGAATCATATATACATATAAATACTACCCTATATGTAGATATCATATATAGGGTGGCCCAAAGTGGTAAAAATAACTAAATTTTTTAGGTATTCCAAAAGAAGTATACCTACATTAGATGTCAACTTCGCTATTTTAAATGAAAAGTTCCATTTTTGTCTTTATTTTTGGATTCTGTGGCCCTATTTCTAGACTTTGATAATAATAGATATCATGTGCTAAAAATGCACCATTTTTAAGTCATTCAATTTGTTTGATAATTTTTGGGAAAACGGTTCAATATATTTTCTACCATAACTATCCCTGTCTGCATATTACTAAAACATATTTTTTATTGCGAAACATCAGTAAATT